AAAATGAGCCGATAAGGCTTTGGGATATTTAAAAGCTGCAGATATCGGAGAATATATAATGCGGTGAAACAACATGAATAATTAATAATAATTTGGAATTCAATGCCCCGATGCATTAGTAGCAATCGAATAAACTTTTGTAAATAAAACATTACAATACGAGTACTAGATCAAACAAACGACTGTTATAATTATAATTTGTTGGAACATTAAAATGACTGCTCTGTGCCGCTCTCAGCTAAGTCTGTCTACGTGCGCTCTTGCTATAGGCGTGCCAAGTTTTTCTCGGAAGCCAATCAATAATGTGTAGACATATTGAAAAGCGTGCAAGTGCTAACGGCGTCTGCACACGCTACCTTTAATTTCGTTATCACCGACACTAGTGTGCACTTGTTCGGAGAGCGCACACTTCGCATTTCTATCACTCACGCAATCTATTCGCGCAGCTTCTATAAAACTTAGGCGGTCGTTGGTTTTCTACCGAAGGTTGTGGACGTCTGTGCGGCTCCATCGAACGCTCGGGCCGACGCCGCCGAGATTACCTTGTTTATCCTTTGATAATGTTCGGGGAAACTTTGTCAATTTCCATGACGTACCGCGCCCGGTCCGTTTAGAGTTTTCGTTAATTCTACGTACAGCCGGCCCCCGCGCGAATTTGCATTTTGCACGCGTGATAAGTGGTCCGGATTACATGGGATTCCGACCAACGGCCTGTGTTTGCTCTGAAATAAAGGGCTATTAAACATTTTTTTTTTCATGGTAATTTGGGTCACCTTCAGAAGTGCCCATTGTAAATTTGTTTAAGTAGGCCTTAGCCACGGGTCGTTTGTTTGAGTTAAGCTTATACAAGCGCCTGTTGTTTTTGGTCTAAACGCGTATAATGACTTAGATAATGATAATGGCCCTGTCAGGAGTGAGTCGACAAAATTCCTCGTCGACTTTGAAAACTGTTCGGATATAGGGAATATGGGAGTATTTTCCATGGCGGGATTAATGCAAGCCACCGCGGAGCGGCCCGGCTGACTTCCAAAATTTCCACACTAAATCTCCCCTTTTGTTTCGCTTCTTTTGCTGGAGAAAGACTTGGCAGCGTATTTTATCTCTGTAATGCTAGCTTTGCTCTGCCAGTAAATAGTAAACAGCGGTAAATACGGGTTAAATTTAGGCAGTGATACGCCGTAGAGGAATGTTTTTAATGTGTGGGCACACTGTAAGAACATTCCTCTGCACGCGTGTTACACTTCATACATTGCATAATAGAGAACAAGATACTATTACGAAAGGCAAATAAAATGAATATATATGATATTTATAATAAATAAATTTAAAACTACTTATAAACTAAATTTTAAATCTAACCAAAAATACATATACAGGAACACACAAAATTAAAACAAAGAAATATTTGTTGCTAATCGCATCCGTAGTTGAATTAATTTATTTAGGTGTTGCTATGCAAATGGGCAAATTTCGCACGACAAAACTGCATCGTAAACAGCCAATAAACAAGAGAGTAAAACCCCAATGCCTTGTGAAATCCCCGTGGCAAAAAATCGCATCGGCCGATACAGTTTTTCTATGCAGATGCGGCTATACGTCAGTGTCCTATTTAGGATTCAGAATGGTCCTGCGCAAAGTCCAACTTTAACAATATCGCACTACCAACTTCCAAGTTTTATCTGCTCCTTTGACTTCGAACTTCGGAGGTATACGAGAAATGTAATGAAGGTATATGATTATTTTTTTATAAAATTCGTCATGTTTAAAAATCATTTCGAAGGACTCTTTTACTACGCTTCCTTAAATAATAACTGCTTTCAAAGTTTCTTGCTATAATTTAGATAATATATTTGGCTATATAGGTAATTAAACAAAACTACAACATTTCTATTGAGCATACTAAACAGTCAAATTGATTATTGATTAAAGAATTCATTGGGTTTTAATTGATAACGTTAGAAAACTGTATAAACTTGTAAATAACTTTCTTTAATGTTCGAAAAGGAACAGAAAATATATACTAAAGAAAAAAAATTGAAAAATTTTGTTATACGCGTCTGCCGTCGGTAACCTATAATGGCACCGACGGGTTGAGTGTGGGTACTTAAACAATAACACTTTATTATGGAATTAATTAATGTAATTTTTATATTATAATATTGGAAAATGCAGTGTTTATATAACTTATTAATAAATAATCACTGTGTAATAGATAGTACGCACGATTTTTTAAGAGAGAACTTAAAAAGTACCTATGTAATAGGTTAGTGTGACTCCAATAAAGCCATCTGTAACATTCATATGTAAAGTGAAACATTATACTACTTAATCATGAAACGCTTTGTAGCACAACGACAACGACAACGAAAGAAATATAAATCTTGTAGAAACAATTCTATAAGATTTATATTTCTTTTTATGTTTTATTTATAGTAAAAGCTTAAGGTGTGCCCAAATGATTACCACAAAATTATATAAATATTGGATAAGTAATACAATACTTTAACGGCATTCAAAAAATTGTGTTACTTTTGTACAAATTATATTGGCTAATGTACAAAAAGCGGTTTTTGTATATTAGATTTATATAGGATCACATACCATTATAAATTTTTACCTAAGTATTTGGCATTTAAGCACTTATGTCTGAATGTTCAAGTAATTTTAAACCAACTATATCATTAAATTTCTATTCGTATGCTACACAATGCTTTGTAGTAAAAATATACTAAAATAAATGAAAATAAGAAAGAAAACAAGCAACGTATCCACTGAACTTAGCTTTGTGTAGCTTGGGTCGGCGTCCTTATGATTTTTGTTGTTTGACATCAATTTAGCGTACAAGCAGTAAACATTTCATAGAACTGAACTCGAACACGTAGCAAAACACATATTATGCACAATACTATTGGTAAAAAACATTAAAATCATTCATAAATACACTAAACCAATACGAAAACTTGACGCCGTTTCTTTCGCATTAGTTCGGAGAGAGGGCAGCGCTGTCGCGTCATTCAACATGGCGATGGATTGCTTCGCGCTCATTGGCCGATCGGGGCAGCGTCGTGAAGTTGGCTGCTCTGCGAGAGCGAGCTAGATTTATGCGTTGTTTTGGCGCCGATGAAAGACGGAGAATGCGCTGGAAGGATAGTACATTTGTATGCCGACTGTGTCGTGGACCGGTTTCGTCAGAGGCGTTCACGGCGCGTATGTGCGTATTCGGCTATGTGCCGGGAGCAGGTAGACGGCGCGCCACCTAACTTGACGGATCGCAGTCGCGTCGTGAAGAATTAAATTGTATTTTATTTAAACAGATTGTTTTATTGTTACAGGTAATTATCGTCGCATAATACGATATGAAGCATTAAAGAATTGTGTATTTTTAATTAAAATAATTTATCTATCCAATTAATTAATTAATATTTTGGAGAGTTAATTATAAAACTACTTATTGTAGTTATAGAGAAAAATTTTTTATTCTCAAATAAATAAATAAACTATTAATCTCATGACAAATAATAACTGATGAATTTCTTATATGTATAAAAGAAATACATAAAATTTACCATGAGAATTATTTAGCTATTTACAATGTTACATAATTATGTATCTTTAGTACCTACTAAATTCCTGATTATATGGTAGTACCTATATAATTAATATCGTAATAATTATAATTTTCAAAGATCCTGATATTGTGATGTGAGTACAAAATTTAATTAGATGCAAACAAATCAATTCAATAATAATGTTTTTGTACAAATATAAACTTCTTAATTAATTCTAAATCTAAATTTACCTTAATACTAATTTATTATAGTACATCATACTATAAATTCACACTGTTTGCATGGATTATATTTTGTTGGAGTAAATTCCGAGAACATTTCTTCCATTATATTTGCGTCGGCTACTTAAGTAGCAGAGATTAATATGTAAAAACTATAGAATTTAATATGTTATTGTTTATTAATTAATTGGATATATGAAACTCAAATTGATTCGCATTTTAAGAGCCACACCCAAACATTAGGAACTGGCCAACAGAAACAAGAACACATTTCTACTATAAGACTAAAATAGAAATAAACACGTAAGTCCTTGTCTATTGGGCCCAATGGGCTAAGATAAATTTACGTCCTCGTGTAACTAGCAATAAATATGCTAATTCAACACTATAACGTCCGTATGTCGCCTAGCCTTCTTCATTGAACGAGTGAAAAAGATATCAGAAAATTGCACTGCGCATTTCTCTTCCCCGTCATACAACCTTCACGGGGTGTCACGCGAAAGGTTACTTACATTCTTCTGGTCGAAAGTCGTATACCATCGCCGCGGGTCGGACGAGTTACGTCCTTCCGACCTCGGCCCGTAGTTTTATCGACCTACGGCAACTACTAACCCAATAAATTTCGGTGTTTCGCTCAGTGAATCCGTTCGGCGAACGAATGCATCGTCCCAGATACAGAGTGCGCGCGAATTGACCGAAGCGATTTATGCTCGGATTATGAGCCAGTTGCTGTCGACGAACTTAGCCGCAATCTATGTAAATGTGTTTACGAACTTCAATCAGGTGACCGGTAAAAGCCTTTAGCGTTTGGGTTTCGCGAAGATAAAAAGAGACGTGTTGTGTGGGAATAAATCAGATAAACGACTTCATCCGCTAAATGAAAACAATCAGAGCCGATATTTAATTGATGGGCGCACCTTAATTAACTTGTAGCCCGGTGGAGTGGCTTAGAAGCTTCACAGATAAAATAAGCCATCTGCATTTTGGTATTCAAATTATTTTCCAAACGTGTTCTCCGCTCTAACCGGGTGGGAGCGAAGGAGATCGTTGCGTCACGCTCACTCCGGCGCGGGCGCCTATTGCGAGAGCGGACCAACCCTTTACCGATTGATCTCTCGCGCCGGAAGGGTAATATAGCATTCAAACTCATATGGGCCCGAATAAAACATAAAAGGCGCATCACAAAAGTTCGCCTAAACTAACCTCGTTAAGATGCCTGGATAAAGGAGTACCGTTTTTCAGTATGGTCACGATAGCCAGCCGGTTCGGATAGTGCGAGCCGCGTTGCTAGAATTGGAGTCACGTCATATTCAACCGACATCCTCTCCATGTGACGGCCCACAAATGACAGGAGAAAGCTGGTACCGCAGCGCTCTAAGGAACAATACCCCGAGGGTGCACCACTGTCGTCGCCTGGGAGAAAGTAGCGATTGATAGATAAAAAAACGGCCTTTGTTAAGGAGCCGGACCAAAAACGGCTCGAGTTTTTTAGTTTCCGAATAACCCTCTACTAGAATGTTTGTGTTTTGTGCAACGGAGCGACGCGAGAGTGCGACTGGTGGTTGGATTCAGGTAAATATCGCAATATTTTGAGCCCATGTTTCTATTGACCCCGCTAATAAAGCGGCTTGTAGGTACTTAACTGGTGTGGAACGTACAGCGTCCCGGAATGACGTATGTCGGGAAATATTACCGGGTACAGCTCGCTTGAAAATTTAATCTCGCGCGTCCATGTACATTTCTCCGTGGGACATATTTACATATCCGTCGAAATTAGATACGCGATGTCGTCGAGTTAATTTGATGCGGGTGATTTATGCGCGTACCTTTTTTTTTTGAGACGTTACTTGAGATTAGAAGGCGCTATCGTTACGAAAGTAACAAAGATTTAATGCTCGAAATGCCGCTTTCGGGGATTATTTTAAAATCAATTTATGTTACTATCATAGGCTTTATGCAGTGAATGCGGTGAGGTAAATAAGTAATTAATTAATGGTTTGGTCCGAACGCCGGGTGCATATCAGAATCCAATGTGGATACTGGTCTTAGTATCGAAGGTATGTCTCACGGACGTACATACAAAGGAGTCGCTTAATTAAACTAGCGGAGCGGAGCAAGCGAACGTAAGCGTTTAATTTATATTCCCGCAGTAAACTGTGCGGGATCTATGTTTGTGGCCTACAGTTCAGAAGAGCAACTAGAAGATATTTAAAAATGAACACGTTCTACCCATAAGATTTTTCAGTTAAAGTTGAAATAAAATGCTAAATACGACAAAAGTTATCAGATTTTTTCAGCAGTTATAGATAAGGCTTTTTCTGAAGTAAAACTCATTTGCACTCTAGATACATGTAACTTTAGAAGCTTGTTTTGATCAGTATGATCCACTAAACGACTTTACTCTTAGCCATCGCTTATCTGTTTCTAGGAAACATTTATTTACGAACTTTTTCATGTAGTATCTGTGGGCAATTGCAAAACAATGTACCTACTTTAGGCTCAACACAAGTGTAGAAAAACACTGAATTTCGTTTTTGTTTTCTTGCAACGATATTGCTAAACCAACACTTAAAGGCTAGTTTAGCCGTAATACAACATTAAGGTTTTTGCACACGTCTTCTACGAAAGATGCCACACAGTAGTCAGAGAATGCCCGCACGTAATCTAAGGAACGTTCAAATAAAGTAAAAATGTGAACAAGCTAAAGAAATAGCTCGAAAATCGCTTTTAAGGCACTGCTCTACGACAGCTGTCGCATATTCTAGGAGACTCTTCACAGCAAGCCTAGCTGAAGTACACACATGTATTGGCTCCTTTGGAAAAAAAAGGCCTTAGTGCTTGGAGGCGTGACTTTAGTGAACTTATTTTCCTCACTTATGTTAACGCCGTGGTATTTAGAAAGTAAACGAGCTTAACCGTCGAAACTAAAGGGCGGCCGCAACTTAACTCAAATTTATGATGAAGAATTTTGCCATTTCAAAAAGAGTGCGTTGCAGTTTTGTGCGCCTTTATATTAATATATATAAGCGTGTTCCGTCGAATGTATTGCAGGATTAACTATTTTAATTACGAATGACGGTGGCACATCACTTCGTTAACAATTAAACGTGTGTTTAATTGATCGTATAAAGGGTCGCCGCCGGCAATAAAACTTTCAGGTTCATTTGTAACGCTCCATTGCTTATTCACCTTTAATTTTTTTACAATACATCGTTCCTTTATTACAATGTTGTATATTTTTTAATGTTAGTCTTGTATAGGCGTTGTGCGTTAATAATTGAAAATTAAATTCCTTGAGCTACATTTTAATATGAGGAATAAGGTCAACTTAAATTACATACGCCCGGTTTCTGTGCCACTGATCATCGTAGAAGTTAACTAATCAGTTGTCAAACGGCTATTCAAATGTCATTTGAGTTGCCGAAAGGATGGTTAAACTCTTTAAATTAATCATTCCGATCATTAAGAAGATCATTCTGATCAATTCAGAGAGTTTAACCATCCTTTTGGCAACTGACTGATAATGTTTTTGCTGGCCGTCCGTAGATAATTATCTAAGATTTCGTTGAATGCAGATTTCTTGGGATGACCAGAGCTCAGGAGCTCGGTACCACCCTTCGCATTGGGTAGGCCTGCGCATGAGCCCATAGCTATCTAATATTATGAACATTTTTCGGCGTTATGGGATTCAAACCTATTCTGGGAAGCTCACACCTAAGTTGGCTATTAGCTCAGATAAGTATCTAACAACTAAGCTAAACTGCCGGTAGGTTAATTTCAAATGAACATTGCAAAATTATGGTTGCTTACAATTTTTTATACATTTAACTTTGGTAACAAAGCTCTTATGCAGACTGATGATTCTATGCAGAATAAGTAAAAAAAAGTCATTAAAATTATATTTTGAGTTTCCTCGGAGAAGAGTAGCGACAATAGTGACTATGGCCTACGGTTCTCAATTATCATCAGGCGAACAGCGGTTCAGAGGTTACCCTAAAAGCCACAGTTCTACACTGCTGTGGCTTTTATGGTAACCGAGCTAGCGAGCTTTTTTACCATAAAACCCTTTTATCCATTTATTTTTGGCTTATTTCATGAATTATAAAATAATTTAACATTGTGAAAAGAAAGTAATGAAAAAATAAATTTATAATATTCGTTATTCAAGTCGAATCGAATGTGGAACTGTACATGAGTTAAGAAGTAAAATATATAAAAACTGTACGAGAATGATTTTAAATTAATTGTGCCATTAAGTCTTTCTTTCAGCTAAAATGTAACACTGTATTTATGAATACAGTTAAAATTTAGGGCTAAAATATACCTTTATTATTATCCCCTAAGGCCCCAACAGTGACCAATACAAGTTTAGCATCTTGATTTCCCCAAAGCCGAATTTCGAAGCAAATTTGTCTGGATACTGTTTAATAGTTGGCTCCAATTTATTGCTCGTATTTTCTAAAGTTGTATATTATATTGTATTGGAATTGAACTTTAAAGCGAGGATTAATCTTACTAACAGTAAAACATTCGTGATACATGTTACTTCTGTTTAATAATATTTCGATTTATTTAATTTAGATTTCAAGAATTTAAACAAGGTTTCTATACTATAAAACTAACTAACTAACTATAAAATGTCTAATATTTTTTATCCGTCTCACTATCATCTCCGTGAGCGCGTTTTATTATACAAAAAAATTTGCATTTTGCTATATTAATGGTCGTTTCCCGTTTATTGTAAAACCAATAAACCTCATTCAAAATTACTTACAAGCAAAACGTTAAGTTTTAAACGGGAAAGGATCCAATTGACCGTTTATAAATTAATTTTCCAAACGCATGAGCGCAGTGGAAATCCTGAATAACTCCACAAGATACCGGAGCTCGCACGACCGGCCATCTCTAAATTCCTCTAGATCTTTCCACCCATCCCGTCCCTTAATTAAGTCCATACTGGGCAAAGACAACAATGGCTGGCTCCCGATGCGCGGCAAGATATTCAAATATGTCTAAGGCCACTGTTATATTGCCAATGGTAATAGGGCTCTGGTGAATTCTATAATTACAATGTGCTATCTGTTTATTAATAGTTTCATTAATGCAGTAAACATAACAAGTTCTCTATTTCAACTATATAAATTAACGTCTCATATATATTGAGAGTAGGTATGATGTTTAAAGAAGCTTTTAGGTTAAAAGGTTTTAATATAAAATTCTATTATTTTCGTATTAAATGAATAATTATGTTTGATCTGCTGGTATTTGATATATCGACCTATTTTGAATTTTGTATTCATCATTTATAAATGTAATGTCTGTTGACCGACTGTTGCGTTTGAAAACAAATTTGACAGTTTCTTTGCAAGTAGTCTACCAATATAGGAAATATTTATATTTCCGTAGCAGGACAGCTAGTATCTAATAAATTTTTAACGTTTGACAATTACTACGTAGGGACGCAATGTGTCTTTCTATCGGCAACTTGCGCATCCCGCTTCCCAATTGGGACATCGATCCCGAACTCCAGCGTCTGTCTGGCGTCCTCCGCGTCTATATTTCGACGTTGGTCCATTTAAAAATGATGCTCAGATCTATCCTTATCTTAACAATGCGGCGCTTTAAAAACTTCCGTCTAAAGAAATACTTTAAGCTATCGCTGTGCTTTGGACGTTGGATCGTAAATGTCGTTCGAATACTTTACAAATTATAACATAATAACAAAAGAACAAAGAACTCTTAATAAATATATGGTAAATTGAAACAGCTGGAATATCAGGACAATGTTTTTAATTTCAAATACTATATGATGTCATATTTGAGAACTTTTCTTCCTATGTAGGACCTGAGAATGTCCTACATACTTTGGTATAGAGACCTCAGGGTAGAAATCTCAGGGTCTAGTTGCAAATTTTAAGTAGATTAAGAATTATCATAAAGTTATGTATATTGTATATTTCACAAATTATTTTCACAATACATATATTTTTATGCAATGAATATAACGTATAAAAATATATTTAAAAGAATATAAAGAATTCGAATATTTACAAATGAATAAAGTTTTGTCTCTTAGAAATATATCTTCACTATTGCAGTAAGTCAATTAAATAGCAATAATCTTACTAAGTAACTATTTGCGAATGTTGGATGACATGTGACATAGACATAGACATAGTCTTTTTTTGACAAGCAACACACATCAAGAACATTCAAAATAAATGACATGAAAATAACAAATTAAAAAATGAAAACAAAACATCGTGTCAAAAATACTAATTAAAAAAGAAAAATAATCTAAGTACACAAAGTGCTACATTCCCATGCATTATAAAAATGGCCCTACCATCATGAACCAATGACTAGTTCACTACAATATGTGAAAAATTGTGGACATTTTAGAATTATGATTATAAGTTAAATGTGTTATAAACAACAAAAAGGAAATAAGACTAATGGCAGAACGTACTTTAAAATTGTCAGGGAAGTGAACGATCGTTGTGTCTTCGTTAGTAATTAATACAATCATATAAAATGTCACTATTCCTTTAAATATATATATAAATGTATCTTTTTCATTACATACACGCTTATATAATCTAAGCAATTTATCTATGTGATAATCCGCAGTTGATATAAATTGATCGATACATAAATATAACTTTCTGTAAAAATGGGAACAGCATACCTATATAAAATAAGAAATAAAAATAAGAATAAAAGAAATTTCTCAAGATGGAATGGAGATTGAAAATAAAATAACTTTATTTTTAATCTCGTCAGTTTGTACCTATTGTCGTGCAGGTGCAATAAAAAGAAGATGGAAACATGCCTTTTGATTAATACTTCGTTTTACTTTCAAACTAACTCCGCACTCTCTAAAGTAATTTTATAAATACACGAGGCCTAATCCAAAACAAATTTTCAATTATAATATAGCAAGGCTAATTTTAAAAATGAAATAAGTTCGTGAAATAACGAATTTAATCGAAGTATATATTGTATTTAATTAAATTCCTTCCAGTCTTCTACATTCTGTTGTTATTAACAATAATATGCGTCTACCATTTGGTTTTGTCTCCTTTGCTTTCAATTACCTACAGCCTGTATAATATGTCATGATATCGACTCAACCGAGTCTTCATTTTCCTTAGTCATGATGGAGTAAAGTAAAATAACAGCCTATACTCTTCCTACTGCTGGGCAAAGGCCTCCTCTATACAGAAGGTATCAGGGTATAGTCCACCACGCGGCCCCACTGCGGATTGGCGGACTTCACATATCTTCGAAAAATATTTTATTTGTTATTATTTCGAAAATATGCAGATTTCCTTCACCGCGGTTACGATGTTTTCCTCCACCTCCAGCACGTGATAAGTCAGCACTTAAAGTTAAAAACTTCATTGGTGCCGGCACCGGATATCGAACTCAGGTTACTCGAGTATATATTGAATTAAAGGCGAGCGCCCGGTCACTGAGCTATCACGGCTCTATGTATTATATCATGATGGAGTCCCAGCGGCTAATTTAGCCTTGGAGCCGCTTTTAAACGTCGATGGATTTTAAATTTCTACCATAAGTTCTTGACTAGTGATAATTTATTCATTCTATTATGAACAAGTTCTTCAAGAGAAACATTGATTTCATCATACTTGTAGTTGCATGAAGCACCATCTTGGATATAAAATCGCAGCATGGATAGAATCATCCATGAATTGTAATCTTCCATCACAAGTTTTATACTAAACGTTTCTTTTGTTTAAAATAATTATTAAATTTTGTCCCATAGAATGCCTCACTTTTATTTCGAATAACTTATTCCTTTCGTTGGCAATGTAACTTTTATTTTAGACTGTATCGCTCCATATGATATCATGACACTGGTCGAAACTTCGGCTCTGGTTATAAACTCTTTTCTTTATAAGCAATAAACCAATCTTTTCAATTCTCTCTTGTATGGACTGATTTGTCGTTTTTGTATTTAAATTTGTCAAGAACTATTCTTTCGAGTTCTTCACAATTTGGATTGTTACATAAAAATGAATTGATGACAATTTTCTAATTTATTTACTATAATCGTACAACACCCTGAATAAATGTATTTAAATATAATATGGGCATACCCTTAAATCGGATAAGAACAAAACGACTATATATAATAGAAATTTTTATGAAATGTTAAACTCAGAACATTATTCTTTTATCAATGAAATCATTCTATAAATATTGACACTAAACACGCACGATTGGCCTTTGAAATAGCATAAAACATTCCCACTGGAAATGGTATAAGCGTCAATTTGCTCTGCGCTCGTGTTCCGAGCGGTGAAGGAACGACCCGGATGATTTTAAATCGGCCACGAAACGTTTTCAGAGCTCACGTTAAAACGAATAAATAGAGTGTCCCGGTTAAGGTGACAATCTGATCGGCGAAAGAAATAGTCCGGTTTTACATATGGCGGAGGCAAAAGCACGTTACTCTCGGGGCACGCCGCATAAATTGGCCCGTTCGTGATGCAGTGCCTCGTTGAATATGTATAGTGGGCCTCCCTTCCGTGCACTTCTCATTTTACTAATAGATTTCGCTTTGATTAAATTTGTATACGTTTTATTCATTCCGAGGCAACTATTGTTGGCCACTCGCTTAAATCACCGTTATTGCCTCCTGAGCGCGTTCGAACAAACATTTGAATTCGCGGCGTCCGCGGCCAATGTTTGTTTTCGTCCGCGAAAACATAATTTATTCCCACAATGCGGGAAGTATGTTGCGAGCGAAAATTTTACCGTTGCAGTATCGGAATGTATGACTTATGTTTGATAATTTTATAATGGACGCTTATGTAGAGGTTCGAAAGATTCTTATACATATATGGAATTAATTAGGCTCCTTTTACCCTACCGCCTAAACAGTCGAGATGCTAAGTTGTATGTAAGACGTTTCCTGGCAACTCGTGCAAAATGTTTTATACATTAGACCAGCGCTTTGTATCGTTACCATTTTACGAACAAACCTCACCGCTCACCACACACATAGAGAATAAAATCAAGATAGTGATCGGAGAGATTCCAAAGGCTTTAACGAAGATGGATATTTGCATAGGTCAGTGTGTGACAGCACAGCTATCGTTTTTCATTACTTTTAATTAAGTGAAGTATTCAATGAAGGAAAATGTTTATGCAAAGCGGTTGTAATCATTACGCTACAAATGAAATATATTACAGCGGCGAAATCCAAGAGTAGAACGTGTAAGATGTAAGATAAAACGATAAGGAAATAATAAAAATACGCGAGCGTAACAACAACATTCACGTATAACCCTTTGGCATTCGCCGTCCGCTGAATGGACGTAAGTCGAAAATCAGATATTTATAATGGCTTTATTAAGACGGGCAAACGGATGAGCTCACGCCCGGTTATTATTATAATTTAGACGATTGCCTAAAGCCCGGGCGTGTGATGAAGTCATCGCGCGTTGAGTATCGAGTTCGTATCATGTTTTTTATATAGCAATCTAATTAGGACGGGCGTTCAGGACTGCGCGATCGGAGCGACTCTTCAGTATCCATCGGGAAAGTGGGTAGGGGGCGCATTACGCATGCATGTAGGTGCACCTTTGTGAGATGTCGCGATAAGGCGCGCTCAACAAATCATAGCGGCATTAGATATGCAAGAATTCCAGTGGAGATTTCGTGACGGCGGGCAATGGTGTCGCCGGCGGCCGGTTGACGTATATAACGCGTCGTTTTCGCCCGGGCCACGCGAGGACGCATAATGAACGGGAAATTATAATATAAATAGGCGGGGGATTTCGTCTATCCGTCGATCTCAACGGTGAAAAAACTTTAACGGAACAAAGTTGTAGATGCCGCGATAGAGTGGTGTTGCGTAGCTATGGATTCGGATTTAATTAACGTCGGTCAGAAGCAACCGCATTCGATGTTCAGTTTCCCTAAGTGTTGTAGTAGTCAAATCTATGGCAGCTGAACTATCCGTGACGTTAAAAGCTTCAAAACGAAGGCGGGCGGGGTGCGTTTTTGGTCTCCACTTAATTCAGTTCACGTACTGAAACGTTCGGGGCTTGAAATCCGTCGGCGGCGGCTGAAAAAGTGTCAATTCATCATAGCAAAGCCTCGGGCTTGGGCGCGCGGTCCCCCGAATAAATCTCGCCGCCATACTTTCGGGGAGCGGGTGCTTTATGCGGGCCTTAAGTCTGTATGGATTTGGGGAAATATTACCGCCGCCGCCTCCGACAAATGAAGGAACGTTGGGCGCATTAGAATGTGCGAAAGGGCCCGTTGGAGGTTTTTATTGTTATAGGCACCGAGCAATCCGTTTAAAAGCGAGCGCTTGTAACGTTAGCGCACACGAAGTGCCTATTGGCTAATATTTATTGCGCGCACCCATTCTCCGAGAGAATTCGGCGCCGGGTAATGTAGCCGGTAATTCGGTGAATATTTATGTGAAACATCATCGGAGAGGGCGATAGTTGAGCACTATAATATGGCCATGGTAGCTCGAGTTATCGACTGAAATGTCTCTCGACGGTTTCGAAGTATTAAAGTGGCGGTAGGAAGTAAGTAGTATTACTATAACTAAACAATAATAGCGCTGCAACAGTTTCGCATCTTGGGCGATCGTAATTGAAATGGGCGTAGGTATTCATTTGTATTCGTACCTAAGCACAAAGCGAGTGCGTGAGGGCAGCGCACGGCTCTCCTCATTAGCGGCTGCCCCCCCCCCCTTCCTTGCCCCGCTCTCCCCTCTATCCCTCCCTCGTCCCGCCCATACCTGCGCCCGCGCAAGCGCTCGGCCCCGGCGACATTTCCATTGCCGTCTCGGGAAATATTCGTTTTAGGAGGCCGAGATTCTTCCGAACTGAGTGTGCTTTATTGTGTGTTAATGCGAACTTTTTACGGTGGACAGCTTACAGGCTACGCCGATCTAGTTCGTTCCTGTTGCGTTTCTCATATAAAATAATGTAGAATAACATAAACGCCCAAACCGATCACCCAGTGTAATGACACAAGTATAAATCTGCATTTCCTGTCTAGGATAGACGAAAAATACAGATTATACACTGGATTCTTCCATGATCTATTTATTCATTATCTATAATAAGCAATAATTTCTTTTATAATTTATTTTTCAAAATTTAAATAGAAAATATGCTATAAAAGGTATTTTTGGAAATTAAAACAATTATTTCACAGAAGTTAAATAGAGTTGCATTCGAATGCCAAAAGTTTATAACAAAAGTTCACAGTAGTCATCTGCGGCATTAAATTAACAAACGCACAAACGCAAATTAATACTGAAAAGTTATGAGATTACGGAACGCTTCGGGCCGCTTCCACCTCCATTGAGACGCATCTTATCTCGATGGTGGGGTTCAATAAACTATGGGGCCCGCTGCCGCGGAGAACCGCGGAATTTATGCGACACAATAACGTATACAGGTGTCGCCCGCCACCCCTACAATGAGGCCGCAGCAGCTAAATGGTAAAAGGGAGCCTTTAAGGAAATCCAAAGCGCTAGTCGATCGAAGCGATAGCACTTCCCCAATTACGATTTATCCCGTCTCAATAAGGGCATCGGTAATGACGCGCGCGGGTGCCTTTTTCTAGCACAATCGAAATCCAATTACCAGAAGCCGGTCACGGAGATACCGGTCCGGAGCGCGGGGGCTCTCCGCAAATCGTCGCCGTCCGTTCGCGGCGCGTTCGGAATATGAATTATTCGCGGGCCGATTGTTCTTGCGACAGCGCCATGGTTCATACATGAAGCGCGGGCTAGTTTTTGCGGCGGCCAAGCTCCGCATCGTAAATAAGCCCGATTTTGCGAATATGTCAAATATCCGGGCGGCGCGCACGGCCGCTTTTTCCTTTAGGGGCGCGCCCGGCCGCGGTTTGCGGGGCTTTATCAAGTTATAATTTTCCCGGCCCGCAATTAACATTATCGACGGTTCGACTGGGCCGCGCGGAATTGGCGTGCGGGAAAGCGCGAGGCGCACTGCCCGCTCGAAGATAACCAGAATCCGTTCGGGCGAATTTTTCGAGGCTCTTTTTTATCAATCGCTGGATGGTTGGTAATTGGCCGTGCGGGTCGCGAGGCGGCCAGGCATAATTGACGGTGCTATCATTCTGAACTACTTCGCCCGGACATTCGGTGAAACTCTTAATTGGTCCACCTTTTGTGACGTCCGATATCGCCGCTTCGATAATAACACCGCTGATTATTAACCGATCCATGTTTTTAATTAGCAGCGCTGATAGTACCGATTGGTTTTCGGCAAGCGGTTATATATAAATACGGTGCTCGCGGTTATTTAAAATATAATACTCGCGTTCGCACCAGTTTCGTGATTATGCGTGCACTCTAGCGGAATTTCCTTTTCTGCGCGGCGAATGTTTAAGTTTTTCGCGATGCGGAATAACAATGAATTTGCGCCAATAAAGTACAGGCCGGGCCCTCTAACGTCGACAGGAGAAAATTTCTTATTGCTTCATAATTAAAGCAGTCTAAAGGTGACCCTATATCCAGGGCGGGGTAAAAACCGTGCATTCGCGGAATACTAAGGAGAGGGGCTTCACTGAATTTCCGAACCGAAAAAGCGCCGGGCGATACTTATCAAGTGTTTGAAATGACACAACCGGATTCCTGCCCTCTCGACATGTCCTTTTTTTCCATGGGGGATATAAAACTGACGAATTTCTCAATAAAAGGGAGATGACCGGCGAGTTGTCACGTATCGGGGGCTCAGTGGGTATTTGGAGCGGTGCAGCAAAAACGGTTCGGGGGCCATTATTATGGCATTTTTGTCGTCTGACAGGACTGCGAGTGGTCGGCGGCAGCGGCTTGAGGGGGGAGGGGGGAACAGGCGATGCGAGCCCCTTCCCCCGCCACTCCCCCCGCCTTCACTCCTCCGCGCCATCCATCTTCGATATGCACATAAAGCCAACCGGACCCATAACAGCAGCCTCACATTCCCGCTGCTCTTAAATTTATTTATCTCTTTATTAATTCTCGACTTGAATTTTAATGTTTCCAGTGGATTTTGCTTTCGGATACATTCGATTAGCATTTCTCAATACTGCCTCGGACGATTGAATCAGACTTCGGCTATACCTACAATTTATTGATATGTATGTACCGTCTTAATCTAGTTCTTGCTTCGAAGTAATTCATTTTAAATAGTTATCATAGGCACCTATGTACATTATTCTATGTACAGATGTTTTACCTTAATTTAGTAAACAAGCAGTAAAAAGCTATACTGTGCAAGACCTTATACAGCTTACCCATAAGTTATTCATAACGTGTTACATAGTGCCTTAGTAATATATTCGTGAATGTTTACCACTTAATAAAATTGAACACGCTTATGTGGTATTTTGGCTTCGTTAAAAAAAGGCATCGCGTAGTACAAGTCTCATTAAAATGGCCGTTCGACTGTACAATGGGATCGACAGGCACGTGTCCCATAAACTATGGAAGACGACGCTTGCGTGGAATGATCGTTTTAACGAAGACTTCGTACACGCCAATACGTTTGGCTTTTAATTAATGAATGCACTTCGACTCTACATACCTAATTCGAATAGTGCAAGTTGGTCATTAATTAGAATATTTATTTTCGACACATTACTACAAATTTTTTCATTTCAAGGCTGACCACAAGATCTCCTAATGGGCATTCCATCAGCTTCACGCAAAAACGAATATGAATTGACGATGTAAGTTGTATATTTCCAATTACTAATGATGTTACTGAAAGGTGTTTGGATTATTTGAACTGTGACAATGCTATTTGCATTATTTTTAAAGTCATCAATTAATAGTCCCTGTCTTATAACACGTGAATTCACGGCGAAATTCTAATTTTCATTGAGTAACACGTTGACAGATAAGAGGCAAGAAGCGATTTGAAGTTTAGTTCGGCTAAGGCAGCACATAAAATGATTAAGACTGGTGTATGAACCGGCTGTTATTTATTATGGTCTTTACATAAAAGCATCATAATATACATATCTGCATCCTTTTGCACCTGCAACTACAGAATATAACCTAAAGACAATTTGGCGACTTTAAAAGCACTTAATAATATTAAATATTGTTGTCAAAATTTAAATTAATCTAGCTCCTAACAAAATTATGAAAAAATATTCTAATGGGCTATTTTAATACTATGTTAGCGAAAAATATATGTGTAAGCACAAACAAACCTATATATTTGATAACTATTGAGAAAGACTAGTGTTTTATTACGAACATTATTTAACTCTAAAATCTTAATTTTAAAAATATGATCGCACATGACAAGGTCTTTTAATAAATACTGCTAAACCTCAGTAACGCAATTACGAAATCTAATGTTATTGGAGTTCAGATCTATCGATTTTATGGTGCCCAGTGTAATTTGCAATACAGCATTTGTGTTAATTGATGCCGCCGTGGTGTTAGTTTAACGATAATGGACAATAAATTGTTCGGAACATTAATCTCTGCATCAAGTTACTAAATGCGATAACAGAGCATCGTGATTCGGGACTGGTAAATAACTGTCTCGTACGCTGCCAGAATGTCGCGTGCGATGCAACGTGTGGCATATAGAAATAACGGGTTTTACACACTTACGACATTCTCCCATTAGCCCACAACTTCTCCTATTTTTCACGAAAGCAACTCGCAAACATATCCATACATGCTTAGGCACGTGAGGCACGCACTAATTAACGTTCAACGTGAAACTTCGCCGTGCGAACCCGCCAGTAATACGAGAACTGTGGCTCTCCGCGCGTCTTCCTCTTTTCGCCCCGTTCATCATGTTCGGGGCGGAAAGGGCGGCTCTTAATAAACTGGGTGCCGCGTAATTGCGTGTCTAACGCTCCCTACACGTAACATGGCCTTTTATTAGGTGGAAATTCTGTATACGGGACCGCGTTCGAGTTGGGTGGAAAGTTATGAAGTACGCGGGAGAGTGTTTACGGCGGCCGCGAATATTGTTCGCCGCATTTCATTCGCCCGTATAAAGAATTCAACGCTGTAGGTAGACCTCTGAGCGGGAGTCGTTTTCAAATGTAAATCCAGTCCGGCCCAGTTAGCAACAGTCACGACCGTACCAATGCAGGAAGCAGCACAGATGTCTAGCTTCGCCCCTAAGATCTCCAATCTATCTCAACAGACCATTGTGTTCGAAGTTTACGAGTACGAAAGTACTTATTGAGTCGCCAACGCATTAACAAAAAAGGTCGTGCCTGGAAACCGGCCGGGGACATTTGAAATCGCGCATTTCATATTTGACTTTTTCTCCGTCCGATGCAGTTTATTTCTTAATTCGATTCGATGATTCACCGAGCGTGTATCCGAGTCAATGAGGCTTGATATAGTTGATGCATTATTGTGATGTTACTAGACAATAATAAACGTCTACACAAACTCGTTAGCTATTGTTTATGGACGCGTTTACCACTTCGCATACATTATAAATTTCCTGCTATATGTATGAGGCGGTTTTATTCATTAAACATTTCTTTGCTTTTATGAACAAATGTAGAGCAAATAAGTGTTGTTTCTATTTAATTTATGAAATGTTAATACAAATAATGAACATTGAGACGAAGAAACATATTATCGCATTCATGATAAAGAACGATGTAAATTAAATGCACTGAGGGAGCCATGCAAGTTTTATTATGTTATTTTCAGTGAAACTGTATGAAACAGTCAATATATATGTATACGTATAGTACAATCAAGTTAACGTGAATTTCCATTAAACAACAGTTCCACGTGTCGCAGCGTGAAGCAAAAGTAGTGAGTTACGGCGTCGAAGGAATCATTGCCCGTGCCGCGACAAGCTCGCCGGCTTTCTTGGTCGCTTTTCAGTTGAATATTATTTATTATTATTCATTCTGAACACGCAATTTTCATTAGTGAAACGACTTCGACGGCGAATCGGCGCGAAGGAGGCGGGGGTGAAACTTTGACGCGGGCAACGAGCTTTGATATACGCCGACTTTTCCGAGAAACGCAAACTAGAAATTCGCTCCATATAGGTACATAGTGACGTCCCCAGCATTGTCAACTAACAAGCACGTCCAACCGCGCCCCAGCACGAAATAGCCAGTAAGTTCTTACACAAGAACAAAACTAGAAAGTATTCGCGGCGAAAACGGGATTTTTACTTTGTGGACTACTGACATGTTGAATTTATACCTTTTATTCGCCAATTTATAAACAAATTCATGGAAGTACGTTCTTTTTGGTTTTTGTTAGTTTTTTATAAAAATAAATGTTTGTCAGATATAATTCCTTAATTAAAATAGGTGTGAAAACATTATGTTGCGTTAAAAAAATGGAGTTTATGCACAACTGCATATATATTGATAGTAATTAAACGGTAATTAAAACAAAACAAACAAAACTTTTGAGTTTTGTGCTGACCGCCTGCTGGGGCGCTTTGAGAATTGCATCGAGATTTTTACACCAGAACAGTTGGATTTCGAACAATGGGCGGACAATATCGAATTTTAGAAAGCTGACCGTTTGTTGCGCAACTTTCTCCCTTTATCTCCAGCACAAAGGTATGAAAAGTTACGTCTAAACGGTCGTTTTTTACAATTGGCCGGTCGTAACTTAACCGTTAGTAATACCGACTTCGTATTATTTAAGGGCGTTAAGCCAAACTTAGAAATAATTACGTGTTGTTTAAAAGAAGGGCTTTCGTCATTGTCAAGATGCTATAGAGAAATATTGTTTCATATGACATACTGAGAAATACTAATATGAATTAATATATTTTTTTGATTTTTGGTCATGGTCACGGACCAACGATGCCGTTGTATTCGTATCGTTGAGAATCTTTAAAGAAATTAAACGTGATATGCTCTTCATGTTCATGTAAAAATGCAGCCATAGATTTTATATCTTCCATAATAATTTATGAAATTTCTGTATTTTTCATATTAATAAAATTGACAGAAAATTGCGTTTCTGACGTAAATTTCGGCTTGCTTATAAATACATTACATTCTACAATTATTTATTTAGTTAATTGAATTCCATACTATCATCTCATATTATGTCATCTCAAATATTTGAAAAGGATAAAATTATATGGATGATTTACTAAAATATTTAAAAGTAAATTTATCTGTTTTGGAAAATGCACTGCACTTTTTTATTTTAATTAGGCTGTTTTCGTTACACAGTTGCACCTTGTTTCTTTCGTTCGGACAATTCCATTAATTTGTGCAATGCAACGGCCGTCCTTAACAGATAGGATCTAGATAGTAGGCATATAGTTAGGTATTAAATTGGTCCGGTACGACATTTACGAGCATATTGGCGCCGTGCAGGGTGCAACATGGTAAAGCTATCTGTTACCCCACCCGTGGCTAATTCACTGTGACAAATTAACAACGGCTAAATTCAAGGCCTTAGCCTCGTGACGTATTCTAATATAGGCGTAGGTGCGATCTGGCTGTACCGAAGATTTACGACCCTTCCACAATTAGTTTTAATTGTGTTTGATACCATAATGTATTGTTCGTTACTAAGACTCAAATTACATCTACATCTAATTGTTTAATTAAAATAGCAAGAGATAGTTTTAAATATAAGAAAGATTATTTTAAATACAGTCTTTTGTTTATTTAAATAAAACTTTGACGAGCAACTCTTTTCAGCACATAACGCTCATTGGTTATATGCAAATTAGTATTTTTAGTTTCGTTTTGAATCTAAAGTGTCGATTGAATGTCTACAAAAGATGCTTATTTAATCTGCTGGCTTTATTCTTGTAGTTACGCTTATGTTCTTAAGACCCTGTAAGATTTCAACCTCGTGACGCTATTCCATTGATTAAGACGAGGTAAGCAGGAATCGGAATTGCCCATTATAGGAGTTTATGGCAATCGGTTAGCGTGTTATGTCCGAAGTAGGATATACTTCTCCATTTAAATACTTTCAGCTGAACATACGTCGTTAGAAAATAA